CCATTGTAACTAATGGTTACTTTCTGTAAGTATCTGTTTAAAACATTGTAACTAATGGTTACTTTCTGTAAGTATCTGTTTAAAACATTGTAACTAATGGTTACTTTCTGTAAGTATCTGTTTCTCGTTAACTTCCTCAAATGCCATAGCAGTACTCTGTAAGTAGAAACAACCATCAGTTACAATGTTTTAAACAGATACTTACAGAAAGTAACCATCAGTTACAATGTTTTAAACAGATACTTACAGAAAGTAACCATCAGTTACAATGTTTTAAACAGATACTTACAGAAAGTAACCATCAGTTACAATGTTTTAAACAGATACTTACAGAAAGTAATCATTATTTACAATGTTTTAAACAGACACTTACAGAAAGTAACCATTATTTACAATGTTTTAAACAGATACTTACAGAAAGTAACCATTAGTTACAATGTTTTAAACAGACACTTACAGAAAGTAACCATTATTTACAATGTTTTAAACAGATACTTACAGAAAGTAACCATCAGTTACAATGTTTTAAACAGATATTTACAGAAAGTAACCATTAGTTACAATGTTTTAAACAGACACTTACAGAAAGTAACCATTAGTTAAAATGTTTTAAACAGATACTTACAGAAAGTAACCATTATTTACAATGGTTTAAACAGATATTTACAGAAAATAACCATTAGGTACAATGGTTTAAACAGATACTTACAGAAAGTAACCATTATTTACAATGGTTTAAACAGATATTTACAGAAAATAACCATTAGGTACAATGTTTTAAACAGACACTTACAGAAAGTAACCATTATTTACAATGGTTTAACAATGTGTACACATGCGTTGGTCATCCCTTGAAGTCGGACATAGCAGATATTGTTGATTGGCTTTTGAATCATGATTTCATCAACACGTATACTCGTATCCTTGGACTCTTGTTTTTTACTTTTAGGTTAATTAAACTTGAAACATGATGTATTGATACATATGCAAGTTGACCTAATGCATTTTATATTTTTTGTAGTTCATATTTTGCTAAAACTATTACCATTTTCTTTTAAAACTGTATTTGAATATATTTTTTGTTTTTTCTTTGAATGTCCAGAGCTTTACATAAGAGTAAGCTTTGTAGTTTGTAAAATCAGAGAAGAAAATTAATGTTTCTTCACATTCAACTGATGAAAATAATATGCATCAGTAATGCTTTGGTTTATTTCACTGAAACTAAAAACATGCTTTAAAGCATTTCAGACTTGAAGGTAATTCAAAATCACGTAGCTTATAAAAAAAAATAAAAATTTTTTTTTTTCAGTCCAAAAATTACAGTTTTGTTAAACAGTTTATTTTTAAGAGTTATTGACTGGCATAAGGTTTTCCTCAATCATTGAAAGATGTGAATGACCTGAAAGTGACGAAAGGTCTCGCTCTTCATGATATTCTTACACAAATTCATTTGTATGTACACAGGAGTAAGTATTTGATACTTTACAATTTACTCTAGATAAGACAGCATACTGCAACACTATACATAAAACATACCACAACAACACTTTGTGTAAAACGTACCACAGCAACATTATACTTATTGTATACCACAATAGTTCTATAGATAAAGGATAAACAATAGCACCATAGGTAAAGATTTTCTCTAATGTTGCTAAGTAACACATCTGGAAGAATAGCAAATGGTGGAATCAGTCATGATGGTGTTTCAGTAGTTTTATATATTTGAAATCTTAGATATTTTATACTTCTTAGTTCTAGATTCCTTTTCTATAATCTTGAAAAAGTTTTACTGTACCAATAAATATAGTTTATAAAGTAAAATATGTAATTAATACTGTTATTCAGTTATACTAGGCTCAGATGCAAGATTGGTTTCAATGAGAAGTCGGTTATGATTTGTTAACAGTGGAGTTTTTTGTTTTAATATAACTTGTAACATCTAATTGGTAACATTGCTATCGGTTGTGATTTGTTAACAGTGGAGTTTCTTGTTTTAATAAAACTTGTAACATTGCTATTGGTTGTGATTTGTTAACAGTGGAGTTTTTTGTTTTAATATAATTGGTAACATTGCTATCGGTTGTGATTTGTTAACAGTGGAGTTTTTGTTTTAATATAACTTGTAACATCTAATTGGTAACACAGCTTCATTTGTGATTTGTTAACAGTGGAGTTTCTTGTTTTAATATAATTGGTAACATTGCTATCGGTTGTGATTTGTTAACAGTGGAGTTTTTTGTTTTAATATAACTTGTAACATCTAATTGGTAACACAGCTATCATTTGTGATTTGTTAACAGTGGAGTTTCTTGTTTTAATATAATTGGTAACATTGCTATCGGTTGTGATTTGTTGACAATGGAGTTTCTTGTTTTAATATAACTTGTAACATGAAATTGGTAACATTGCGAAGCTTTAAACGTAAAGACTGAAAATATTTGTAAGGCAGAGATTGATCTGGTGGTTGGATTTCATAACTGAAGTATTAAAAGCTTGTGTGATTCTGGCATAAAAATGTACTATTTCGAGATTTGTAAGTAATGAAATTTAGAGAATAAGACTAAAAGTATAAATCAAAAAGAAATTGTAGTTTCAGAAGGAGTATCCAACCAATATAACATGACATGTTTATTTTTTTATTGTATGCCTCACGTACTGGTATTAATCATTTGTTTTCTTCAGCTCTAATACACTTTATGTAAATAAACCAATGATATATAATTTCTTGTTTTATAGTTGAGTTCCCAGTTCAAGTAAAGTTACAGTTATTGGAAAAAATGTCAGATATAGAGTAAGTTTTTTATGAGTATTTTTACTGATTATTGGAAAAAAATGGCAGATATAGAGTAATTATTTTTTACACTTATATTTTTATCATTTTTTGTGCAGAAATTCTATGATATATTAAGTTAAAAACTTTATGAAAAATATGTAAATGTTCAATCCTCATCTAGTTTAGCCAGTTGATTAGTGTGTATTGTACACTTGTTAATTTCTATTTTCATATTTCTACCCAGACATTTGTTAAGCTTGGTGTTCCTTAAGTTTGGTACTTTAGTAGGAGTGTGTTTTCATGCATTGCTTCATACTTTTGATATAATACACTTAATAATTTCATCCTGTATTATAGCCATTTTCGTCCTGTTGTGTGTCACCACATGTATTGGTCAGACTTCCTATGTCTACCTACTCTATGTCAATATCTATTATTTATCAAACAAATCCGTGATACTTTCAATTTGAGGACACAAGTCACCCTGCTACCCATAGTTAACTTGAATGTGTTGAAAGATATTTGATGGAAAATTCTTTACCTATTTAATTGACTAATTACTAATTATTTTGCAATAGCTTTCTACTCATACTAATTATTCTGACAAATCATGATATATTTTTTTTTTACTTTTATATAAACTACAGTTTGATACACCTATAAAATAAGTATGGGGATTTAGTTGTGCAGGAATAAAAATTTGTTATAGCTCTTCCTAAATTAGTAATTAAAGTTACACACAATGCAAGTCTGACCTCTCAAACTGTTATCACAAGTTCTGTGGATGTCATTATATGCATGATATAAATATAAAACATTCCATGCAAGCCCAGATTATTCATCTCGGACTTGCACATAGTGCCGATTGTTTCTCTATTCGTTTTAGGTGTAGTTCATCCCGTTTGATACAGTTAACCCAAGAAGTTCCAATTGTACACCACTAGAGTAGTAGTGTTTAATGTAAAATGAGACTAGATGTGTTAGCATCTAACTTCAGAAATTAAATCTTGCGTAGGATACACCAGTGTCAGAATAAGTTAGTGAACTGTAGTATGCTATTCGACAGTTCTTCACTTTATATCCTACACTGTTCTAAATTTATGTGAGAGCAACACACTTAAGGGTTTAACATTAAATTGGGGGAAGAGATTTCTTAATTTGAAATGTGCAAATAGAACATTCCTGATACATTGGCAGTATTATAATGTGTATTTTGAACTCTGACATATGTTTTCTGTTGTTGTATTCTACATTGTCATGGCAAGATTATTATTTATGTAAAAAATATATTCTGTGCAAATAATAAGAGGAAGTAGTAGTACTTGTTAGTCAGAAGTTTTTTAATATGAAATGAATTATCTCGATTAATGTTTTCCGAGTTACCAGAAAGCCAACTTTCCTGACTGCCTTGTTAATATTTTCCTACTATTAATTACAAGTGGGAAATTGGGGGAAGAGGTTTCTTAATTTGAAATGTACAAATAGAACATTCCTGATACATTGGCAGTATTATAATGTGTATTTTGAACTCTGACATATGTTTTCTGTTGTTGTATTCTACATTGTCATGGCAAGATTATTATTTATGTAAAAAATATATTCTGTGCAAATAATAAGAGGAAGTAGTTATACTTGTTAGTCAGAAGTTTTTTAATATGAAATGAATTATCTCGATTAATGTTTTCCGAGTTACCAGAAAGCCAACTTTCCTGACTGCCTTGTTAATATTTTCCTACTATTAATTACAAGTGGG